TTCCGTACTCACCTCTGGAATTTGTAAGCACTTCTTTTTCAGCCATTATTCTTTTCTCAAAAAATAAGGAGTTAAGGACTTTTTATTCATAAGTAAAAATTATAAATAAAAAAACCAGGAAAGGACGAAAAGAAAAAGAAATATAAAACTAGAAGAGAGATTGCCTGAAAAAATAATTAATTATAATTAATTAATGTTTATTGGTTAACCTTGGGTCTATGTAAAGTTAATCAAGCCAAGCTCAAGCTTAGACATAAGAAGCATGCTCAAGCTCTAGCTTGTATACTGTTAACAGAGTCAAGACTGAGCTCCGCATTGTATTGAGTTGTATTGGTTCAATTAAACACCTATTTGCTAGTGGGTCGAGTGTAGATTGCCAGCCCTCTCCATAACCTGAAAATAGTATTTTATTCTTGCAATTGTTGCAAGTTTGCAACTACAACTTTGCAACACCATTTCCTGTTTGGTAACATATTTTTTCTTTTGTAACTCAAACAGATGCAGGCATTGTATAAAATTGGGAAGGGTGAACCACCACCTGTTCCTGACTCTTTGTCAAAAGATGCACGAGATTTTATCCTGCAATGCCTACAAGTCAATCCAAATAATCGCCCAACAGCTGCGCAGCTCTTAGACCATACATTTGTGAGGAGGTCACCTTCTACATCCTTAGGCTCAGCTTCTCCTTATCATGGCAGATGGAATTGAGGGCTTCTTTCTGTAAAAAAATTGGCTGGAAATGTAACAGGTAAAACCTACAAGTCATTCCTATATTTTGTGTTCCAGAATTTCATGTTGCCCCTCATTCCATCCTTGGAAAAGAATAGTGAAAGATGCAATATAAACAATGCTGTTGTTTGCAAGTGAACTTTATTTGAGGGATCTCTCATTTTCTTGGTGATTAGATAGGAGATACTTAAGTTGCCTGAAAGCACATCTGAATTTCATGGATGATATGTATCTAACGTGCATGGGTTGATAAATGGAGAGAATTGACCCCCTTAAGATTTAGCTTGGAGCCTTGTTTTATAAGATTTCATTTGACGTTATTTCTTATTGGTGCAGATGCATTTGTGGTTGTAATGAGCTATGTGTTTGATGAAGAAAGGAAAACAAAACTGTCTTGTTGCATTGTCTAGATAGACCTTTTCTTCTGCAGCTTCAACTTTCAAGAGCGGCTGCACATTGGTATTTGATTAAATCTACCTTAATTTAAGGTTGCTAAGGACAGGATGAGGATGCATATGTTGGTGCAGAATTCTGCACCAGATTGCTAAATGCTCTCAATTTGGTTGTTTTTATATAATGCCAGTTTGCTAGTGTTACACTTTCTTTTCTCTTTTTTGGGTTATCAGAGAAGAAAAGAACTAGAATTACAAACAAGAACTGAAGTCTGTGGTAGTACACCACTTCCGCATCCCAAATGGTTGTGGCCCCAGGAGCTCAGTGTCCCTACTAGTGTTACGCTTTCCGTTTTGTTATTAGTTTTCCTTATGTAGATTTTTAGTGGGTGCAATATTCTAGGGCAACGTGTTGTGAAATTTGTTGTAAGAAAATCAGGCACCACGCTTTATTTGTATATATACATATTTCTTTCTCATTATTGAAGCTGAAGTATTAGTGGTAATCTGGTGTTTATTCAGCATGGATGTTCACCTTTACTTTTGGTTTGGGGTGGAACGAGGGAGGGATCCAGTTGTTAATGGGGATTGGGGAACAGAGATTTTAATCATTTATTTACGTAATGAACCCAATTTTATCCTATTTTATTTCTTTCAAAAATAACTTTTTCTTTATTATTATTATTATTTGTTCAAAAAATATTTTACAATTTAAATTACACAATTTTAATTATTACATGCCTTGATATTAAGAGATTTATTTTTTATTCAATAATTTTTGCTTTACAATCTGAACTATTTATACTGCAAAATAGAAAAAAAAAAATTAATGTAACCTTTGTTGCATTTTTTTTTTCTATAAAGTCAACTAGCTTACTTGGGTGTTGAATGTTACTTAGTTTCTTCACAGCATACACTTGCTAAATTGAAATTGAGACTGGGTAGAGGAGTGTAAAGGGAAAAGAGAACCTTTAAACTAATGCTCGGACAGTGAATAAATTAGTGCTTGAAAATCTGAAGTTTATTTGTTCATTCACAAGAAAGAAGAATGAAGATGGCCAAAAAATAATTAAC